AAGACGCTGTGTTCTAACTAATGGAAAATTGTCCATTGCCTGTCAGGTTATTGTTCATTTCCTGATCCTTAATGACCGATTTTCCACCAATCAGCCCGGGGCCCCGTGCCCACCCTGAGGACAAGGTCTAGGCCTCTGGGTCCCTAAAAGTGACTACAGGGAGGGGGCTGCCAACATCTCTCAGGGCTGGGGCACCAAGAATGGCAAGCCAGGCCCTCCCCTCTACTGTTCCCCCACAGCCCCCACACTCTGCCCTCGGTCCTCTACTCAGGGCAGTGTGGTAAGCTGATAAGCCTGCCCCCCCAGGAGCAGGAGCCCCCCTTAAAAGGGGGGAGTCTGGAGAGTGCCTTGAAGCTTCCTGGCACAGTTCATTAAGATATCAACCCTTAATGAAATATTTCTTTGTCTAAATCGTCATTTATCTTGGGGAACAGGGGCCTTTGTGGCAAAGGAAAAGACTGCCCCTTTCTACCCCTCCCCCACCTCTACCCAGCACAGACCCTGGGTCTTTCTGAGTCAGAAAGATTGAGAAGCAGGGTAGGGAGGAACAGCTGGGAGATATGGGGAAGGGAGAAGAATCCAGAGCGGGGGGAACTACAGGGAAAAGGGGGGACAACTTTACTGAGCAAGAGGCAGTAGAGAGTGAAACAGAAAGCCCTGGAAGCCCTCCCCTCTCGCCCCCGAAAGGAAACCCACTGCAGTGTGACCACAATGGCCAAACATCGCAAACAACCCAACTGCCCATCACAGGGAGGCTGGGTAAAGAAACCAGGGCACACTGACAGGGTGGAAGGCTCTCCGGAGGACTTTTCAGTTAATGACCTAGAGATACATGTAGCAATCCTGAATTAATCTCAGCAACATAGAGTTGAGTAAAACAAGAACAAAAGATAAAAGCAAGGAGCAGAAGGATACCTTTCATTTAGAGTTTCAAGATGCCCAACCAACAGAAATGAGTGAGAGTATAAAACTTGAGAAGGCCTCCCACCACTTCAGGAAACTGGCTACCTCTGGAAGGGAAGTATGGAGAAAGAGAGGGAGGGGTATGAGAAGACCTCAACAAGATCAGCGGCCGTTTTTAAGCTTTTTATTTTGAGCCATAAAGAAAGATGCACAAATCATAAGTGTACCTACAGCCCAATTAATTTTCACAAAGTGAACACACCCGTGTAACCAAATTCAAAAAGAAACACAGAACATTCCCAGAAGCCCAGGAAACCTTTCGTGCCCCTCCCAGCCTCTCTCCCACCCAGAGTAGCCACTCTCCTGAGTAGTAACACCATTAATTAGTTTGACTGATTTTTGAATTTCAGATAAATGGAACCATACTGTGTGTTTTCTCAGGTGTCTGGCTTTTATGCTCAACATTCTGGTTGTGAGATTTCTCCATGTTGCTGTGTGTGGCAATAGTTTCTTCATTCTCATTGCCAAGTACTAGCTCATGTACGCACATACCATGATTTATTCACCTAATCCCACTGTTGATGGCTACTAGTAACAGTGCCGCTAAGAACATTGTAGTGTATGTCTTTTGGTGAACACACATATGAATGCATTTCTGTTGGTAAATACTTCAGAGAGGAGCTGCTGCTGTGTTATGCTGGTAAAGTTTTACTCCTTAATAACTTTAAAAAAAAAGTTGTTTTTTGGAGGGTAAGACTCAAGCAGTCAGGTGAATGGATACAGAATATCGGGACTTAGATGTGTGGGGACTGTGGGAATAAGGAGACCAATGTTTCTGAATATACACAGCCCCAAGTGCCAGGTCTGGGACTCAGAATAGGCTCACCCACTAGCTCACTTCATCCCCGTAGCAGGGAGGCAGCTGGCCCCGGGAAAGGGCATCTGCTTTAGAGTGACAAGGCCTGGGAACAAGTCTTTGCAAGACCACCTCTGAGCTGTGTGATCTGGGGTGAGTTCCTTACCTATAAAATGGGAAGAGCTTCCATGCTGAACAGCACATGAATCGAGTGCCCGGTACACAACAGGCATTTAATAAGTATTAACTGCAGTTGTATGCATGACTTGCAGTTTTGTGGGGTCAGTATTCCTCATTTTTAGGTAAGGAAACTGGGGCTCACCAACGTGAAAATAAATGTTTATGGGGAGCACTTGATGAACAGGTCATGGAGCTAGCTTTTGCTTATACTTTGTCATGTTATCTCCCAACCACCTAGGAAGCAGCTTCCTAATTTTTGGGAATGAGGAAAAGTGAGGCTCAGATTTGTCCAAGTCACACAGCTAGTAAGTGGCAGAGGCTGAAGTTCAACTCCAGGCTGCCTCATCTAGCCCCTCTTACCACTGGCCGCCTAATATGGCCCTGGTTCTTGCCACAGCCAAGGCCCCTGGCCCTCCCTGGACCTCCGAAAGAAGGAGAAGAGAGAGGGGACCCTCCCGCCTGTTCCCATTCTGCCTGGGGAGCCCAGTGCTATTCTTTCGAAACTCCACAGGGGTCCTGCCCGAGGAGGCACTTTGGACCGGCTTCTTTGATGTTGGGGCATTTGTTCTGTACCTTTCTTTGGTGAGCCTTGTTTTCTCACTCACATGCCCTTTAGGTGAAGAGGAGACAGGGTCTTTTGCCTCCCTTGAGCTCCCCCCACCCCCACCCCCACCCACGGTGACTCACAGGGTGCTGGGAAGTGAGCTGGCCTGGAGATGAAGGGTAAACGGAAAGGAGAGCCAAAGGTTCCCAGGAAATCCCTCTGGGCCGGCAGGCCATGTGGGAGGTAAGGGGGGCTGCTGCAGGGCGACAAACGGAAGAGGGCTCAGTGGCTAGGACCGCCAGCCAGAAGAGAGCAGGGGAAGCCCATCGGAGCTCACCCGATTCCACCTCCCCTGTGGAAACCCACCCCAGTCCTCTGCAGGAAGGGTGGGAAGGACGTCATGGCCCCGCTGGGCTTCCACAAGGGCCTGCCAGCTCCAGGCCCGACCCAGACCAGTCCACACACCCGGACCCCCATTGGAGCTGGCTCTCCATAGACGCTAAAACAGCACACAACCAAGAGCTTTCCCGCCAACTGTACTCCTCAGGTAACCCACAAGCAGGCTGTACTGCTTGAAAGATCTCCACGAGCTCTTCTCTGTCCTCACTGAAGTGGCTCTGGTTGGAATCCTGCTTCATCACTTACCCGCTGCTGTGCAAGCCTGGAAAAATGACTTCATCTTTTTGTACCTCCGTTTCCACCTCTGTAAATGGAGATAATAGTACTATCTACCTCACAGGGTTATTGTGCACGTAGCATAAGTCCCATGCCTGGCATGTGCTATGGCTCCAACTTGAGCTGTGTTTTTGTTCTTATTGCTACTGCTATTGCTACACTGGAAAAGGCACTTTCCAATAATAGTATCCAAGTAAATGGCACTTAGAGTCCCTCCCCCACCCCAACAATTTCACACCTAGATATCTGAAAGGCTCCAGCAAGACCTAAGTTTGCCTGTGACACCTACCCAAGAGGGCAAATACATAGCATCTGGACCTGGACAGGTATCAGTAAGATGACAACCACTTCTGGTTATTTGCACCCACAGAAAAGAAACAGAATAAGTAATGGAGAACAACCCAAGAGGGAACCTCCTCTCTCAAGACCCTTTTGTTCCAAGCCCCATTGGAAAAGCCTTCTGGAACAAGAAATCCTCTCTCCCCAGGCCACAGCACTGACATACCCTAAGCACCAATCCCTGAAGCACCCCCATCTCGCATTCCATAGAAGCAACAAGTGTCTGCCCGTCCCTACCTGCCTCAAGTGATCTGGGCCAGGAGAGCCTTCAAGAGCCATTGCCTTCTTACTCCCACCCCACCATTTGGTCCTGGGCACTCCACCATGATCCCCAACACATCGCTCAGCTCTCCCCATCCCAACACACAGAGCCAGGTGGGAGATGTTTGGAAGATGGAGGGTGGAAGAGTGGACTTAGATTGCCACAGGTCTCCGAGCGCGAGGCATCTGCTACCAGCACAGCCCTCCCTCTGGGATCTTGGGCCTTTCCTCCCCCGGACTTCCCCTTCCACCCCAAACACACACCCCTGCCACCACCACAATCCCCTCAGTTTTCCGGGGCAAAAGACGTTGAGTTTTGTTTACAGTCTAATTTATCCGGACAGCTGACTCTACTTTGCCCTTCTCCAGGCCGCGTGGCTCCGGCTTTGGGTCCCTTCCTAACTGGTTCGCAGAACACTTTAAGGGAAATCCCCCTTCCGGAGCGGGAGGGAGCGATCGTCCGGGGTGGCCGCGCACAAAGCCCAGAAGGAGACTCCCCACGTCCCCCAGCCCCGCTCAAAAACCCACCCCAACCCCCACGCAGTGGTGAACAGGAGCGAGGTAAGGAAGGGCACAGACCCGATACCGGCTCCGGGCCCCCGGCCATTCCCCGCGTCGAGCGCAGCCCGCCGGGAACCAGTGAACCGTGTGGGACCAGGGCTTGGCCGTACCTCCAGACTCCGGAGAAGGGCTGGGGTTTGCAAAGCACGCCACAGGATTCGCGAGGCCAGGGTGAATTCCTGGGGTCTCTCCACCTCCCCCGCCCCTTTTCAGGTGTGCAGCCCCACGTCTTTTCCTGGTGTCCCCATTTTTCTTCCCCTAAAGTTTGATCCACGTGGTCTTCTCTCGCTCCGGGCCGGCTGCCTTGCCTGTTGAAAAGCTGCTGCACCTGCTTTAGGCGAATTATGGTAGCGCTAGAAGTTGGTCTCCCCTCCCTCCCTCCCTCCGCCGCCCGCTCACTCGCTCCCTCCCTCCGCCCAGGCTCGCGGCGCGCTCCCTCCTTCCCCCTCCACCCGCCTCCCCGCCCCCGCCCGCCCCGCCTGCGCACCGCCCGCTCGCAGCCACTCGCAGCCCCGGTTCAGTCGCAGCCCCTCGGAGTCCGGAGTCAGTCGCCCCTGCGGACCGGACTGTGCGACCGGCGGCCGGGACGGAGCCCCCATCCTGCGAGGAGGGCGCGGCGCAGGCGGCGGCGGCGCGGCGGGGAGGAGCCCGGGCCGGAACCAGGGCTGGGCCGGGGGCGGGGACGCCGGGGTCCCGAAGCCCGGCGCCGGAGCGAGCGAACCAGCGTCGCGGGAGGACCGGGAAGGAGGAGAACAGCCGGAGCTAGCCGAGCTGCCCACAAAGTGCGATGCCCCGGCGGGGCTAGGGCGCGCGGCGGCAGGCGCGGCGCGGAGGGAGGACGCCCCGGAGCTGCGCGGCGCTGGGCGGCGCGGAGGGGCAGCCCCAGCGGGCGGCGGCGGGCCCGGGCTGCGACCCGAGCGAGCCCCATGCCCCGCGCGGGCTGACGGGCCGGAGCCCGCACGGAGCGGCCGGGCCGGACAGGTAGGTGGCGGGCCGAGCCTGGGGACGCGGGGTGGGGGCTGGGCCGGCGACCAGACCAACTCCCGAGCTCGCGCACTCGCTCGCCCGCTCGCTGGCTTACTTTGTGTTTGCAAACTGCCCGCCGGAGCCACGCCGGGAGGAGCCGGGCCCAGGCCGGCATACTTTGTTCCAGCCAGGGCCGGCTGCTGCGCCCCGACCCCGCGCAGCCGCGACACCCCGGGCCGGGCCCTCGCGGCCCCGAGCTGCGTTGGGAACAGGTGGGGGCTCCGGCGCGGCGGCGGCGGGCTCGGGTGGGGGCAGACGGAGGTCGGCCGGGGGTGGGGGCTGGAAAGGCTACCGAGGCCCGCCCTTCCCCAAGAATCCGGGCCCCGCCCCCTCCCCGTCCGACCGCTGGGAATGGGGTGTAAGGGGGCGCGACACCCCCGCCCGCACCGAGTCAGACAAAGAGTACTTCCCGGCCCGGACTTTCCTGAGCTGGGGAGGGAAATGGGGAAGTGAGTTCCTCCAACCCCAGTCTGTCCAGGACTCCCCAAGACTCGCCGAGGCAGCTGGGGGGCCGCGGTCAGAACAGCCGCGCCGCCTTGGGTGCGGAGGGGGACTCATTTTGCTGAGGTCGCACCTGGGAGGTTCCGGGGCCAGTCTCTTTCCCCCATCCCTCGGTCAGCTGGGAGATAGAGCGGAAAACTTCTTTGGGGGACTTGAGAGCGTCTGGAACCCTCCCCTGTGATTTTGTGCGCTGGTGCTTGAGTGGGGGGGGGGGGACTGACCTGGCCGTTACCTTTATTCGCCCCATTTGAGGAGAACCCTTGCCTCACCGTGTACAGGGGGGCGGCAGCGGGTTCAGGGCCCCCTAGAAAGTGCCCCGGAGTGACCGAGCGGGGGATCCTGAGGAGGGAAGCTGAGGACTCTAGTCTCTTGCGGTCAACCTCCGACAGACCCCTCTCTTTGACCCGCGGTCACCCCGCGAGCTCCAGCCTTGCACTCCCGATCAACGCCCAACTAACTTGGGCTGAGCCCGTGGCACTAGAAGGTGAGGGGCGACGTGGTGTCCTCCCCTCCCCGTCAAAGGACCGTGTGATTTCGCGGGACGCGGATTCGGAGGCCGCGGCCCTAAGGGCTGCAGATTCCGTCTCTCGAACCGGAGCGACCTTGTGAACACACCGGCGTCCCACTCGGACTCTCTAGGTTGGGAGAAGAGGATAGGGGTTCGCGGAAACCCTGAGCTCTAGAACACCTGGCTCATCCCTGTGCACCCCGTCTCTCTCCTAACCCCAGCTTGGCTGATTTCCTCCCTCGCGTGGCGCCTGGGGTTTAAGGTATATAGAGATCACTGCGTGCCTGGCACTCCAGCGTAGGGATTCCCTGGAGGTTGACCTCGGAGCCTGGAGCAGGGTTCGGGGGCGGGGGTGGGGGTCGGGGCCGGAGGAGCTAGCCTGAAGCTGTCTTCCTCATGCCTCCTAAGAAAGCCCAGGAGCATTTTGGCCAATGCGGGTTTTTACTTGGATTGCAGCATCTTCATACGATGTTTTAAAACCCCCGCCTGGATTGTCTCACCTTGAACTGTGTTGGATCTGGGGCTGAGGACCAGGGGAAGGAAGCTTGAGGGAAGGAGCCTGAGGCGGCCCGGTGCCCCCTTCTCCCACACCCAAGGAAGGAGCAGCGGGGTGGTCTGTACGGCCTGCAGCCTCAGGAAGGTCTAACCAGTCCCACAGAACACAGTAATGGAGACCACCACACTGAGAACTTGAGCCCAGAAACTCACTTTCCTTGGAGAATGAGGACTGAGTCCTGTGGATGCTGGGCATTTCAAGCCCTTGTTTTGCCTGGTGAGCCAGTGGGTGGGTGTAGGGGCCCCAAAGGGCAGAAAGCTGGGCTGTCCCACTCCAGCTGGGGGAATGGGAATGCTCATCTGGAACAGCCCCTGCCCCAGACAACCCCTGCCCAAGCCCGACCACTGCCAGGAAGGGGAGGTCTATAGGTTTGGGAGGTTTTTTTTGTTTGTCTGTTTGTTTGCTTGTTTTTTGTTTTGTCTTGTTTTAAACTTGAGAAACTTCGTGTTGCCTGGGTTCTGGGGCTCTTTGTCACCTGGCAGGCCGGAGGGAGGGCTGAGAACTGGGAGCACCTGGACAGCTTGCTTGCTCTGTGCCGATCGCAGCCTCAGAGAAGCAGGGCTGTGCCTTGGGGTCTCCCCATCTGGTGTCACTCCCACCCTCGTCTGTGGGGCAAGGTGTCGTGGGGAGGAAGTGGCATTGCGGGTGTCCTCTCCCCTGCACACACCCTGGACCTCACCAGGATCTGAACCTGAAGCTCTCCAGCTGGACCCTTCGAGCACTACCTTACCCGGGCCCCCGCCTTGGCACTAAGTTGTGGGAGACCATGGGAACCGTCTCTCCTGGCACTGAGCGCTGGGCCCCGGGGTGGGGTTTTTCTGTCCTCCCCCCAGGCCTGGGCAGTTTTCCCAGGAGTTGCGGAGATGGGGAGCCCCTGAGCCCCGGGGAGAGGAAGGCCTGACAGCAGGGCGGGGGATGCTGGGGCAGGGGCAGCCGGCCGACTTGGAGAAGGACCTGCCCCTGTTTCCTGTCTTTCTTTTCCTTTTTTCTTTTTTCCCCTTTTTTTCTTTTTTCCCCTTTTTTTCTTTTTTCTGTGTAGGTGCCCTTCTTATACACCCCTACACACCCCTACCCCATCCCCCTTTTCTCTGCCTTTGGCCAGAAACTTCCTTTCTGGCTGCTGGCAGGTAGGTCCCTTCTTGCCAGGAATGTGCATATCCTGCTGGGCCCCTACTCCAAACACACCTCTTCCTTAGTGGGGAGGAAAGCAGGGGGGCTTGGGGGGGGGGCTTTCTTTGATCCAGTAATTCCCCAAATGTTTGCTGAGTCCCTACTCTGTCTGGGCAGGTACCAGGCTGGGCACTGGAGTGCCCAAGCAGTGAAGGCTGGGGTCTGCTCTCTGGACCTCACGGTGTCAGGGTAGGAGAGACAGATAAGATATCACATGGGGAGAGGAGGGTGGGAGCAGGGTGTCTGTTTTAGAAGAGAGGTGTGAGGCGCTAGAGAAGGGAAGGGTTTTCTCCCTAAGGAGGCTTCCTGGCTCCGCCACACCTGGAGCAGCACCCTCCTTACTTACATCCTAACCCATCGCTGCCCACTGCCTTGGTGGTTTTCCTGTCTCTCCAGCTGAACTGCAAACCCCTCCACTCCTACCCCAAGCAGGCACAATGTCTTTACTTTTCTAATAGCCCGAACTGCAAAACAATCATTTCTTCCATCCAAGGAACTCGGCATAGTTTCCTTTCATGATCTTAGAACTCCCCTGGCTTCCCAGACCAAGGCAAGGCAGGTACCGTTTGTGACAAGGTTCCAAGGCTCCATTGGCTCAAATGCCTTCCCCCAACTTGGTTCCAGAACTCTGGAACCCAGGGCAATGAACTCAGGCCTCCCCAGGGCAGAACATGGATGGGTCAGAGTGGAACAGAAAAGGCTTAAGAACTAGCCAGTAGTGATGGGACTTCGGGGAACTTAATTAAGCTCCTGGAACCCTAGTTTTCTGTATATGTAAAGTAGGGCAGTAATACCCGTTTAGAGCCTGTCTGGGGAGTTCAGTGGGCGAACAGACGTAAAGTACCTAGCACAGTGCTTGGCACATGGCAGCGCTGACCAAGGCTTTTATTATTAGAGTCTCAGCACTACCAGGCCTTACGATGGACTCACTGCTGGAAATGCTCAAGGTATTAGCCTCCATTTTATGGAGTGAGAAAATGGACCCCAGAGAGGAGATGCAACTTGACTTGAGGTGGCACAGCTAGTTAGCATTAGAGCAGGGACTGAAACCGTGGCGCCTCTAAGTTCCAGTGTAACCAGTAGGGCTTGAGCCTCTGCTGGGGAGGTGGTGGGGCGGGGGGGGGGGCGGGGGGGTGACAAAAGGGTATCCGAGGACCTGCCAACTCCCCCCTCCACTAGCTCAGGTATGGGCTGCCCCTCTGCCCACAACCCTGGAATGTGCGGTTGTCCCTCCTCTCCCGGCGCCCCTAAGGTACTCATGGAAACAAAAATGGGAGGGATAGTTCCCTAGAACCCAGAGGAGGAAAAATGGCTGGCAGCACCACCTGTCCAAAAAGAGAAGACTTCCATGGTTTGAAAACCTCACTTCACAGCCTCACGCAATACAAGTCTGGCAGCCAGTCTCAGATCAATTTGGTACCTACCCTAGATGGATCATCTCAAAAAAACAAAAAGAAACTTCCTCTGAGCCTGAAGTTGCTGACTCTTTCAGGACAGCCTTCCTGGAGTCTCTGCAGAAAGGGAAATGCACACCTTCTTTCCTTCTGCCAGTCCCGCCAAGCTGGAATCACAGAAGGAAACTTCTTTACTCCCAGCCCTGTGGCTTGCTGAGTGGCGGTGATGCTGTGGGTAGCACTGTGGGGCCCCACGTGGAGCCCGGGCTCGGCACACCTGAGCTAGAAGTCAAGCGCTCTCAGCACAAAAAGCACACATTTGGCTAGGGCCGCAGGGCCCTGGGCCTGGCCGATGATGTCCTCTGTGTGGTCTTTACCTTTGCTGGGCTGCCCCTTGCTCCAGTGCAGCCTTGCATCTTTCCTCTCCTAGCCCTGGTCACAGCCACCCGACCCGTGTGCCCAATCCCAGCGGCTCTGCCTATCTCCCCATGCCCCATCCTCTGTCCAACTGGAGTCTCTTGGGCTGGCACCTGAGGGTGAGTGGGACCACTGGTCCTGCAGGACAGCGGCAAATATTTTCTCTCCTACTTGGAGTTTCTGACAGTACCTGCGCTACCTTGCAAAGGAGGTTTGCGGGGCGGGGGGGCGGGGGGTGGCGACAGCCTGAGATGGTGGGTTTTCCTCGGACATTAACAAAGTGGAGTGTGTAGAATAGTGACCCTCTGGCGTTTGTTCAGAATAGGCAGGGTGAGCAAGCGTAACTTACCCAGAATTCCCACCACGGTGAAGGAGGGGCAAGTGATGGCCACCCGTAATGGAGACAGGG